TATATTTGATCGAAGTAGCTAAGTGGTTTTGGCTACTGTAACCAAGTAGTACACGGTAACGGTAATCGATTGGTACTCGTCGTAGTCGCAGGTAAGAGGTGTAGACCAATAGAATAGCCAATGGCGTAGTCTAATGGGTGTCATCATAGACTTAGACTCTGTCGTACCTACACGTCCGTCTGTATTTATGACGGACACCAACCAATCATATTCCAGTGAGGGGGAACTCAGATGTATGCATATTCCATTATATATATATATATATATATATATATATATATATATATATATATATATATATATATATTGATATGTCCGGAAAGGGATATATGTGATCGAAGTAGTTAAGTTGTTTTGGCTACTGTAACCAAGTAGTACACGGTAGCGGTAATCGACTGGTACTCGTCGTAGTCGCAGGTAATAGGTGTAGACCAATAGGATAGCCAATGGCATAGTCCAATGGGCGTTGTCATAGACTTAAACTCTTTCGTACCTACACGTCCGTCTGTATTTATGACTGACACCAGCCAATCATATTCCAGTGAGGGGGAACACAGGTGTATGCATATTCTATTATATCAATGTCCTCCAACTAAATGGCACACCTTGGCCATGAACACTTGACCGTTGTAGTTCATCTGAGAAACCCTTCCACCCTGGCCGGTGACCTGCGTCGACGAGGTCCTTCGTCCTGTGGTGCCGTCTTAACACCACCACGTCATTTTAACCTGCAAGCTGAAACGGTTTACCAGGGCATGGCAACAAGGAGCCATCACCTGAGCTGATCAGTAATTTATAAATGGATAACTCGTGTTAAAGAAGGGCAGGACAAAGTTTAAGATGACATAATAGGAAAGATCAACGCTGTTCGAGATTTCACTGGAGGGGGGGACCCGATGATTGACGTCAGAAATGATAGCTAATACCCTAGAGAAAAAAAAATAGTTTTCTTTTTAACCCTTTGTGTCCTGACCACCGCTTTACCGGTGGTAGAGAAAAATGATGTAATGCCCAGCAACAGGTTGAACAGTGGTAGAGAAAAATGACGTAATGCCCAGCCACCAGTTGAACGGTGGGTAAACACATGTATCGTGTTTTGCTATTGGTTGTCTTATTTTGAAGAGCCAATCAGAAAATCCGTAATATTCGCACGTCATCGAACGTTATACCAACACCAATTCCAATATTGTTATATCTATTGTGAAACATTACATACCAATTATTTGCGCATTTTGACTCAGAAGCTCAGGCAGAAGAATTAAATTTGTTCAGGAAAGCAGGGATCAAAAGGGTTAATTGAAAAAATATTTAGCAATTTCTTTGCTCATTTCGCTTCCAAACTCTTGCAATCAGATCAACAACAATTCATTTCAATGGAACTTTTTTAACAAACGGGATTAAATTCAGAACACTTTACACATGTCATTTACCAGATCAGCAACAATTGAATTCAATGGAAATTTTAAACAAAAAGAATTAAATTCGGAACACCTAAGTGTAACTGGACATATCTGTACAGAAAAATAAATGATGATGAAGGGGGGGGTCAAAAAATACTGTGCGACGTTCGCCGGTGAGCCAATTATTTTTCTTCTTCTTAGGTCGCCTCAAGGAAATGGATTGCGTGGCTCCCTTTCTCGGCCGTTACACTGGGCAGTTGTAAAACAGGCACCAAATCGGCCGGGCCTACTTCAACTTCCTCATTGTCTGTCTGTCTGTCAATCCGTACGTCCAACTCTATCACACGCAGTCTGCCGAATGACATCAGTTTATTTATTGTATTTAAAATACAATTACGGTACAAGGACAAAATAAGGAGGAGTGGAGGCTGGTCGTCCCAATATTATACCGAGCTAATCTGATTCACGACCCATTCAAACATTACAGTTTCCACATTCACCATAAGAACTCGTCCATCACCAATCAATCCTCCATCCACCACAATACCTCAATCCTCTCAAGGGGAACCTACAAAATGCGCCCCCATGCCATAAAAATATAATGATAATAATAATAATACATAAAAATCTAAGAATAAAGAATGAGGGGGGGAGGGGGAGATGAACCGAATAATAACTCAAAATCAACACAAAATAAACTAAACATAACTGATGTTAGTAGGGCCTGTCTTACCCCCAAAAAGGAGAGGCCGCTGTATTCGCCCATTGGACAAAATCAAGAGGCTCTCTCGCTAAGAGAGTGAGAAAAGGATAAAAAAAATGATAAGGGCATAGTAAAATATAAAGCTGACCCAATCGAGATAAAAAGGGGGCCAAAACAAACTGGGGAGGTTGGGAATTTCAACCCGGATCATAAGCAAAGACGCAGCCGGGAACAGGCCAGGAACAACACTTACTCACATTAACTAGGTACACAAGGTTTGTCTAACTTAACCAAGGGGAGGGCTCCGCAGGAAACCACCCCAATGCCACGTAGGTTTACCTAAAAGAGAAAATCAAGGCTAGTCCCGGTGAAACGAACAAGGTTCGCCTCAGTCACCCACCTTTCGCTGAAGACTGTCGAATGCAAGCGTTTTCTAACAGTTTTAATCTTCATCTTCAGCCCCCCATGACATGGACGGTGTGCACAGACACCTCTGTCGGCTTGATGCCTGCGTCCACTTCATAAAATGGAGGATAGCGAGCGCTCGAACGGCTTCCTATGGTCTTTACGGAGAGGAAGTACGGACAATCGATAAAGGACAATTGGGAAAACGTAAGTGGCACACGCCTCCGGCCTGCCCTTTACGGACAACCTCCGTCGACGCCAAGTCTGACCGGCCGCGTCGACCTTTGCTCGTACTTCAGACCAATTTTTCTCCAGCTGGAGATCGGTTTGAAACCACACTCCAAGACCGTCCATCAAACCGAAAGGCACTGGAATGTCGACCCCCTTCCAGGCACCTAACCGCAAGTCTCTGTCACCTTTTCGTACCGATGAAGCGCCTTCAGTACCGCCTCAATGTCGCTGCGGGACGACACGAAAGCAAATAAGTCATCGGCGTACGCGGGAACCCTGACTCGAGCCCATCCAACAGAGACTTGGCAACTGACTTGGCCAAAATCTTTAACTCTGTGTTTAGCAGAGTTATGGGCCTGTAATTATCTATTCCCCCCCTCCAACACCCTTGCCCGTTTTCAACAGCGTGATCACACCCCTAGTGAACCGGTCGGCGATGGCACCCTGCTGGAACCGGTTGTTGAACACAACTGTCAAAATCGGGACAAAGATGTGCGACAGCCTCAAGTACAATTCATAGGGCAAACGTTTCGCACATGTTGTCAGTGGCCCGAAGAGTATGCCCCTCGGGGGGTTTTGACTTCACGAATGTCACGATCGGAACCTAGACGGATCTCTTCCTTGCGCAAGTCTGCGCCAGTGTTCACAGCTTCGGAAGACATCTCGCTTAACCGATGTCTAATTACCTGGCCCATGTAGCGCTCGCTAGACAAACGCTCCAGGGCCTCCCTAGCTAAGGCTATCTCTAGGGGATCCCCCCAGCCACCGTCCGGGAAAAAAAACTAGCCTTAAGCGTCTTTACCTTTTCAGCTCCATCTAGGGTGAGCCGTTTTCTGAAATAAGTGGTGAAGGACCTAATCCTATCTTTAAGTCTCTCCCACCACTTATTCCCGTTAACCGCCCCCGCACTGGATCCCGCTGCACTAAGCTAATTAGCTTCTCCTGGATTTCCCGCCTGTCCATTAAGGACAGATTGAACTCCCAGTACCCAGCCATTCTAGGCCTACGATCTAACGCCATCCGAGCACAAACGAGTTTGTGATCCGAACAGCCTTCCCAGTGGAACGTGGGACAATCTAACAAGTCTACGTCGGCTCCTCTAACTAACATTCTGTCCAGGTAGCTAACTACTCAGGTAAAAGGCCAATTAAGAGCCAACGTCCATTTTCCCACCCCAGGGTGATCGATCTATCAACCAGACCAAAATCGTTGATCAGATCAACCAGGCTACGATCGCTCCTCCTCCCACTAGCTCCTCTCCCCCTGTCTAACTTGGGGTCCAGGATGGCATTCCAGTCCCCCATTAACAATAGGCGCGTTGAATCCATCAGAAACGGCCCCAACCGCCGAAAAAAAACGATACCCGCTCCACCGGGTCGTTGGGCAAATAAACCGCACGACTCGGAACGAACCACTTTTTACAGCAATATCGGTCACGATCAACCGGCCCTCGGCATCGGTATGCACAAGGTCCACCTTCGCATCCAGGGTAAGTCTAACCAGCAAAGAAACTCCTCTGGCCTGTCGGTCTCCATATGCCGAATAAAGAACAAAGTCGCTAGCCAGCACACACGCATCGACTTTACAAACAAATGGGTCTCTTGGATCGCGGCGACATCCAATCCGAACGACAAGAGATCCCGGAGAAGGCGGGCAGCCTCAGCCCAATCCACTAAGCCCTTCGCATTCAGAGTGGCCAACTTGATTGACATCTTTTAAATCTGTGAAAGAGAAAAAAATAGCTTAGTTACATACCTGACGGAAATCTACGGCGGAAAGTAACCTGATGGATTGTCCGAGGCTTCCCGTCCCTAAATCTGTCGCCTGTGGGATACGTTAGATTTAACGCCCCATATAACGATGATTGGAGAATTACCGGGACCCTCCCTGCACAAAAAATTTGTGATTTTTTAAAATCTGTTGTGCCCATCTGGGCCATCCTTATTTTGGAGTAGGCATCCTTAGCTTCGGAAACACGGGTCCATACCTTAAGATGTTTTCCAGTGTCCTTAAAAAGGGTAATAACCCCCGAAGCACCGGGGAAGTTGTTACGGTCCTCCACCGATTTCCTATCGATAATGAAATTTTGAACAGGGGAACTAGGAGTGATCTTTTGCGCGATGAGGGGTCCCTCTTCAATGCCCAATGTTTACCTTATCCTGAATCAAAGTCATTAAAAAATGATTGCCTAACAAAAGAAAGGCTCTAGTCAAAGTTGATCAGTAGGAAAAGTTAAAGGCGCCATTCAGGAGGGTGGTTTCATGGATATAAGCGCCGTTCAGGAGGGTGGTTCAGTTGATATAGGCGCCGTTCAGGAGGGTGGTTCAGTTGATATAGGCGCCATTCAGGAGGGTGGTTTCATGGATATAGGCGCCGTTCAGGAGGGTGGGTTAGTTGATATAGGCGCCGTTCAGGAGGGTGGTTTGGTTGATATAGGCGGCGTTCAGGAGGGTGGTTCAGTTGACATAGGCGCCGTTCAGGAGGGTGGTTCAGTTGATATAGGCGCCGTTCAGGAGGGTGGTTTCATGTACATAGGCGCCGTTCAGAAGGGAGGTTTCATGGATATAGGCGCCGTTCAGGAGCGTGGTTCAATTGATATAGGCGCCGTTCAGGAGTGTGGTTTTGTTGATAAAGGCGCCGTTCAGGAGGGTGGTTTCATGGATATAGGCGCCGTTCAGGAGGGTGGTTTAGTTGATATAGGCGCCGTTCAGGAGGGTGGTTCAGTTGATATAGGCGCCGTTCAGGAGGGTGGTTTCATGGATATAAACGCCGTTCAGGAGGGTGGTTCAGTTGATATAGGCGCCGTTCAGGAGGGTGGTTTCAAGGATATAGGCGCTGTTCAGGAAGGTGGTTCAGTTGATATAGGAGCCGTTCAGGAGGGTGGTTTCAAGGATATAGGCGCCGTTGATAAGGGTGGTTCAGTTGATATAGGCGCCGTTCAGGAGGGTGGTTTCATGGATATAGGCACAGTACAGGAGGGGGGTTTCATGGATATAGGTGCGGTACAGGAGGGTGGTTCAGTTGATATAGGCGCCGTTCAGGAAGGTGGTTTCATGGATATAGGCGACGTTCAGGGGGGTGGTTTCATGGATATAGGCGCCGTTCAGGAGGGTGGTTTCATGGATATAGGCGACGTACAGGAGGGTGGATTAATGGATATAGGCGCCGTTCAGGAAGGTAGTTTAATGGATATAGGCGCCGTTCGGGAGGGTGCTTTAATGGATATAGGCGTCGTTCGGGAGGGTGGTTTACTTGATATAGGCGCCGTTCAGGAGGGTGGTTCAGTTGATATACGCGCCGTTCAGGAGGGTGGATTAGTTGATATTGGCGCAGTTCAGGAAGCTTGTCCAGTTGATATAGGCACCGTTCAGGAGGAAGGTTTATTTGATATAGGCGAATTTCAGGAGGGTGGTTTAGTTGATATAGGCGACGTTCAGGAGGGTGGTTCAGTTGATATAGGCCCCGTTCTGCATGGTGGTTCAGTTGATATAGGCGCCGTTCAGGAGGGTGGTTTCATGGATATAGGCACCGTTCAGGAGGGTGGTTTCATGGATATAGGCGCCGTTCAGGAGGGTGGTTCAGTTGATATAGGCGCCGTTCAGGAAGGTGGTTTCATGGATATAGGCGACGTTCAGGAGGGTGGTTTCATGGATATAGGCGCCGTTCAGGAGGGTGGTTTCATGGATATAGGCGACGTTCAGGAGGGGGGATTAATGGATATAGGCGCCGTTCAGGAAGGTAGTTTAATGAATATAGGCGCCGTTCGGGAGGGTGGTGTAATGGATATAGGCGTCGTTCGGGAGGGTGGTTTACTTGATATAGGCGTCGTTCAGGAGGGCGGTTCAGTTGATATACGCGCCGTTCAGGAGAATGGTTTAGTTGATATAGGCGCCTTTCACGAGGATGGTTTATTTGATATAGTCGCCGTTCAGGAGGGTGGTTTAGTTGATATAGGCGCCGTTCAGGAAAGAGGTTTCATGGATGTAGGCGACGTTCAGGAGGGTGGATTCATGGATATAGGCGCCGTTCAGGAGGGTGGTTTCATGGATATAGGTGCCGTTCAGGATGGTGGTTTAGTTGATATAGGCGTCGTCTGGGAGAGGATTTACTTCATATAGGCGCCGTTCAGGAGGGTGGTTCAGTTGATATAGGCGCCGTTCAGGAGGGTGGTTTAGTTGATATAGGCTCCGTTCAGGAGGGTGGTTTCATGGATATAGGCGCCGTTCAGGAGGGTGGTTCAGTTGATATTGGCGCCGTTCAGGAGGGTGGTTTAGTTGATATAGGCGCCGTTCAGAAGGGTGGTTTTATGGATATAGGCGCCGTTCATGAGGGTGGTTCAGTTGATATAGGCGCCGTTCAGGAGGGTGGTTTCATGAATATAGGCACCGTTCAGGATGGTGGTTTCATGGATATAGGCGCCGTTCAGGAGGGTGGTTCAGTTGATATAGGCGCCGTTCAGGAAGGTGGTTTCATGGATATAGGCGACGTTCAGGAGGGTGGTTTCATGGATATAGGCGCCGTTCAGGAGGGTGGTTTCATGGATATAGTCGCCGTTCATGAGGGTGGTTCAGTTGATATAGGCGCCGTTCAGGAGGGTGGTTTCATGGATATAGGCGCCGTTCAAAATTGTGGTTCAGTTGATATAGGCGCCGTTCAGGAGGGTGGTTTCATCGATATAGGCACCGTTCAGGAGGGTGGTTTCATGGATATAGGCGACGTTCAGGAGAGTGGATTAATGGATATAGGCGTCGTTCGGGAGGGTGGTTCAGTTGATATAGTCGCCGTTCAGGTGGGTGGTTTAGTTGATATAGGCGCCGTTCAGGAGGGTGGTTTACTTGATATAGGCGCCGTTCAGGAGGGTGGTTTAGTTGATATAGGCGCCGTTCAGGAGGGTCGTTCAGTTGATATAGGCGCCGTTCAAGAGGGTGGTTCAGTTGATATATGCGCCGTTCAGGAGGGTGGTTTAGTTGATATAGGCGCCGTTCAGGAGGGTGGTTTCATGGATATAGGAGCCGTTCGGGAGAGTGGTTCAGTTGATATAGTCACCGTTCAGGAGGGTGGTTTAGTTGATATAGGCGCCGTTCAGGAGGGTGGTTTACTTGATATAGGCGCCGTTCGGGAGGGTGGTTCAGTTGATATAGTCGCCGTTAAGGAGGGTGGTTTAGTTGATATTGGCGCCATTCGGGACGGTTGATTAATGGATATAGGCGTCATTCGCAGGGTGGTTCAGTTGATATAGGCGCCGTTCAGGAGGGTGCTTTAGTTGATATAGGCGCTGTTCAGGAGGGTGGTTTATTTGATATAGGCGCCGTTCAGGAGGGTGGTTCAGTTGATATAGTCGCCGTTCAGGAGGGTGGTTTAGTTGATATAGGCGCAATTCAGGAGGGTGGTTTACTTGATATAGGCGCCGTTCAGGAGGGTGGTTTAGTCGATATAGGCGCCGTTCAGGAGGGTCGTTCAGTTGATATAGGCGCCGTTCAGGAGGGTGGTTTCATGGATACAGGCGCCGTTCAAGAGGGTGGTTTAGTTGATATTTGCGCCGTTCGGGACGGTGGATTAATGGATATAGGCGCCGTTCGGGAGGGTGGTTCAGTTGATATAGTCGCCGTTCAGGTGGGTGGTTTCATGGATTAGTTTGATAATGGATATAGGCGCCGTTCAGGAGGGTGGTTTCATGGATATAGGCGCCGTTCAGGAGGGTGGTTTAGTTGATATAGGCGACGTTCAGGAGGGTCGTTCAGTTGATATAGGCGCCGTTCAGGAGGGTGGTTTCATGGATATAGGCGCCGTTGGGAGGGTGGTTCAGTTGATATAGGCGCCGTTCAGGAGGGTGGTTTAGTTTATATAGGCGCCGTTCAGGAGGGTGGTTTCAGGGATATGGGCGCCGTTCAGGAGGGTGGATGGAGGCGCCGTTCAGGAGCGTGGTTGATATAGTCACCGTTCAGGAGGGTGGTTTAGTTGATATAGGCGCCGTTCAGGAGGGTGGTTTACTTGATATAGGCGCCGTTCGGGAGGGTGGTTTAGTTGATATAGTCGCCGTTCAGGAGGGTGGTTCAGTTGATATTGGCGCCATTCAGGAGGGTGGTTTAATGGATATAGGCGTCATTCGGAGTGTGGTTCAGTTGATATAGGCGCCGTTCAGGGGTGGTTTAGTTGATAGGCGCTGTTCAGGAGGGTGGTTTCGGTTGATATAGGCGCCGTTCAGGAGGGTGGTTTCAGGCGGAGGGGTGGTTCAGTTGATAGTCGCCGTTCAGGCGGTGGTTCAGTTGATATAGGCGCCGTTCGGGAGGGTGGTTTCATGGATATAGGCGCCGTTCAGGAGGGTGGTTTCATGGATATAGGCGCCGTTCAGGAGGGTCGTTCAGTTGATATAGGCGCCGTTCAGGAGGGTGGTTTCATGGATATAGGCGCCGTTCAAGGAGGGTGGTTTATGGATTAGGCGCCGATATTTTCATGGATATGGGCGACGTTCAGGAGGGTGGATTAATGGATATAGGCGCCGTTCGGGAGGGTGGTTTAATGGATATAGGCGCCGTTCAGGTGGGTGGTTTAATGGATATAGGCGTCGTTCGGGAGGGTGGTTTACTTGCGCGCCGTTCGGGGTGGTGGTTTAGTTGATATAGGCGCCGTTCAGGAGGGTGGTTTAGTTGATATAGGCGCCGTTCAGGAGGATGGTTTATTGGATATAGGCGCCGTTCAGGAGGGTGGTTTCAGTTGATATAGGCGCCGTTCAGGAAGGGTGGTTTTCATGGATATAGGCGCCGTTCAGGAGGGTGGTTTAATGGATATAGGCGCCGTTCAGGAGGGTGGTTCGGAGGTGCCGTTCAGTATGGTGGTTTAGTTGATATAGGCGCCGTTCAGGAGGGTGGTTTCATGGATATAGGCGCCGTTCAGGAGGGTGGTTTCATGGATATAGGCGCCGTTCAGGGGAGGGTGGATTAATGGATAGGCGCCGTTCAGGAGGGTGGTTTAATGGATATAGGCATATAGGCGCCGTTCAGGAGGGTGGTTCAGTTGATATAGTCGCCGTTCAGGAGGGTGCTTTAGTTGCCGTTCAGGAGGGTGGGTTCGTTCGGGAGGGTGGTTCTGATATAGTCGCCGTTCAACAGGGTGGTTTAGTTGGATTTGCGGTTCGGGACAGTGGATTAATGGATATAGGCGCCGTTCGGGAGGGTGGATCAGTTGATATAGTCGCCGTTCAGGTGGGTGGTTTAGTTGATATAGGCGCCGTTCAGGAGGGTGGTTTACTTGATATAGGCGCCGTTCAGGAGGGTGGTTTAGTGGATATAGGCGCCGTTCAGGAGGGTCGTTCAGTTGATATAGGCGCCGTTCAGGGAGGGTGGTTTGGTTGATACAGGCGCCGTTCAAGAGGGTGGTTATAGGCGCCGTTCAGGAGGGTGGTTTCATGGATATAGGCGAACTTCAGGAGGGTGGATTAATGGATATAGGATCTGTTCAGGAGGGTGGTTCAGTTGATATAGGCGCCGTTCAGGAGGGTGGTTTCATGGATGTAGGCGACGTTCAGGAGGGTGGATTAATGGATAAAGGCGCCGTTCAGGAGGGTGGTTTCATGGATATAGGCGCCGTTCTGGTTCAGTTGAGGCGACGCGTTTCAGTTGATATAGGCGCCGTTCAGGAGGGTGGTTTCATGGATATAGGCGCCGTTCAGGAGGGTGGTTCAGTTGATATAGGCGCCGTTCAGGAGGGTGGTTCAGTTGATATAGGCGCCGTTCAGGAGGGTGGTTTCAGGGATATGGGCGCCGTTCAGGAGGGTGGTTTCATGGATAGAGGCGCCGTTCAGGAGCGTGGTTCACTTGATATAGGCGCCGTTCAGGAGGGTGGTTCAGTTGATATAGGCGCCGTTCAGGAAGGTGGTTTCATGCATATAGGCGATGTTCAGGAGGGTGGTTTCATGGATATAGGCGCCGTTCAGGAGGGTGGTTTCATGGATATAGGCGACGTTCAGGAGGGTGGATTAATGTATATAGGCGCCGTTCAGGAAGGTAGTTTAATGGATATAGGCGCCGTTCGGGAGGGTGGTTAAATGGATATAGGCGTCGTTCGGGAGGGTGGTTTACTTGATATAGGCGTCGTTCAGGAGGGTGGTTCAGTTGATATACGCGCCGTTCAGGAGGGTGGTTTAGTTGATATAGGCGCCGTTCAGGAGGATGGTTTATTTGATATAGTCGCCGTTCAGGAGGGTGGTTTAGTTGATATAGGCGCCGTTCAGGAAAGAGGTTTCATGGATATAGGCGACGTTCAGGAGGGTGGTTTCATGGATATAGGCGCCGTTCAGGAGGGTGGTTTCATGGATATAGGTGCCGTTCAGTATGGTGGTTTAGTTGATATAGGCGCCGTTCAGGAGGGTGGGTTCATGTATATAGGCGCCGTTCAGAAGGGTGGTTTCATGGATATAGGCGCCGTTCAGGAGGGTGGATTAATGGATATAGGCGCCGTTCAGGAAGGTAGTTTAATGGATATAGGCGTCGTCTGGGAGAGGATTTAATTCATATAGGCGCCGTTCAGGAGGGTGGTTCAGTTGATATAGGCGCCGTTCAGGAGGTTGGTTTAGGATATAGGTGGTTTAGGCGCCGTTCAGGAGGGTGGATGATATTGGCGCCGTTCAGTTGAAGGCGGTTCAGAAGGGTGGTTTTATGGATATAGGCGCTGTCCATGAGGGTGGTTCAGTTGATATAGGCGCCGTTCAGGAGGGTGGTTTCATGAATATAGGCACCGTTCAGGGAGGGTGGTTTCATGGATATAGGCGCCGTTCAGGAGGGTGGTTCAGTTGATATAGGCGCCGTTCAGGAAGGTGGTTTCATGGATATAGGCGACGTTCAGGAGGGTGGTTTCATGGATATAGGCGCCGTTCAGGAGGGTGGTTTCATGGATATAGTCGCCGGTCGGGAGGGTGGTTCAGTTGATATAGGCGCCGTTCAGGAGGGTGGTTTTCATGGATATAGGCGCCGTTCAAAAGTGTGGTTCAGTTGATATAGGCGCCGTTCAGGAGGGTGGTTTCATCGATATAGGCACCGTTCAGGAGGGTGGTTTCATGGATATAGGCGACGTTCAGGAGAGTGGATTAATGGATATAGGCGACGTTCAGGAGAGTGGATTAATGGATATAGGCGCCGTTCGGGAGGGTGGTTCAGTTGATATAGTCGCCGTTCAGGTGGGTGGTTTAGTTGATATAGGCGCCGTTCAGGAGATTGGTTTACTTGATATAGGCGCCGTTCAGGAGGGTGGTTTAGTTGATATAGGCGCCGTTCAGGAGGTTGGTTTAGTTGATATAGGCGCCGTTCAGGAGGGTGGTTTCATGGATATAGGAGCCGTTCGGGAGGGTGGTTAAGTTGATATAGTCGCCGTTCTGGAGGGTGGTTTAGTTGATATTGGCGCCGTTCGGGACGGTGGATTAATAGGATATAGGCGCCGTTCGGGAGGGTGGTTCAGTTGATATAGTCGCCGTTCAGGAGGCTGGATATTTAGTTGATATAGGCGCCGTTAGGGTGGGTTCAGGAGTTGATATAGGCGGTTTACTTGATATAGGCGCCGTTCAGGAGGGTGGTCCATGGATATAGGCGCCGTTCAAGAGGGTGGTTTAGTTGATATAGGCGCCGTTCAGGTGGGTCGTTCAGTTGATATAGGCGCCGTTCAGGAGGTTGGTTTAGTTGATATAGGCGCCGTTCAGGGAGTGTGGTTTCATGGATATAGGAGCCGTTCAGGATGGTGGTTTATTTGATATAGGCGCCGTTCGGGAGGGTGGTTTAATGGATATAGGCGTCGTCCGGGAGGTTGGTTTATTTGATATAGGCGCCGTTCAGGAGGGTGGTTCAGTTGATATAGTCGCCGTTCAGGAGGGTGGTTTAGTTGATATAGGCGCCGTTCAGGAGGGTGGTTTACTTGATATAGGCGCCGTTCGGGAGGGTGGTTCAGTTGATATAGTCGCCGTTCAGGAGGGTGGTTTAGTTGATATAGGCGCCGTTCAGGAGGGTGGTTTACTTGATATAGGCGCCGTTCGGGAGGGTGGTTCAGTTGATATAGTCGCCGTTCAGGAGGGTGGTTTAGTTGATATAGGCCCCGTTCAGAAGTGTGGTTTAGTTGATATAGGCGCCGTTCAGGAGGGTGGTTTCATGGATATAGGCACCGTTCAGGAGGGTGGTTCAGTTGATATAGGCGCCGTTCAGGAGGATGGTTTCATGGATATAGGCGCCGTTCAGGAGGGTGGTTTACTTGATTTAGGCGCCGTTCAGGAGGGTGGTTTAGTTGATATAGGCGCCATTCAGGAGCGTGGTTTCATGGATATAGGCGCCGTTCGGGAGGGTGGTTCAGTTGATATAGGCCCCTTCAGGGTGGTGGTTTAGTTGATATTGGCGCCGTTCAGGAGGGGTGGTTTAATGTATATAGGCGTGGTTCGGAAGGGTGGTTTACTCGATATATGCGCCGTTCAGGAGGGTGGTTTAGTTGATATAGGCGTCGTTCAGGGTGTGGTTTTTAATGGATATAGGGCGTCGTTCAGGAGGTTGGTTTAATGGATATAGACGCCGTTCTGGAGGGTGGCTTAATGGATATAGACGCCGTTCAGGAGGATGGGTTAATGGATATAGGCGCCGTTCAGGAGTGTGGTTTCATGGATATAGGCGCCGTTCAGGAGGGTGGTTCAGTTGATATAGGCGCCGTTCAGGAGGGTGGTTCAGTTGATATAGGCGCCGTTCAGGAAGGTGGTTTCATGGATATCGGCGACGTTCAGGAGGGTGGTTTCATGGATATAGGCGCCGTTCAGGACGGTGGTTTCATGGATATAGGTGACGTTCAGGAGGGTGGATTAATGGATATAGGCGCCGTTCAGGAAGGTAGTTTAATGGATATAGGCGCCGTTCGGGAGGGAGGTTCAATGGATATAGGCGTCGTTCGGGAAAGTGGTTTACTTGATATACGCGTCGTTCAGGAGTGTGGTTCAGTTGATATACGCGCCTTTCAGGAGGGTGGTTTAGTTGATATAGGCGCCGTTCAGGATGATGGTTTATTTGATATACGCGCCTTTCAGGAGGCTGGTTTTGGTTGATATAAGCGCCGTTCAGGAGGGTGGGTTCATGTATATATGCGCCGTTCATGAGGGTGGTTTTCATGGATATAGGCGCCGTTCAGGAAGGGTGGATTAATGGATATAGGCGCCCTTCAGGAAGGTAGTTTAATGGATATAGGCGTCGTCCGGGAGAGGATTCACTTGATAAAGGCGCCGTTCAGGAGTGTGGTTCAGTTGATATAGGCGCCGTTCAGGAGGGTGGTTCAGTTGATATAGGCGTCGTTGGGAGGGTGGTTTAGTTGATATTGGCGCAGTTCAGGAGGGTGGTTCAGTTGACATAGTCGCCGTTCAGGAGGGTGGTTTAGTTGATATAGGCGCCGTTCAGGGGGGGTCGTTCAGTTGATATAGGCGCCGTTCTGGAGGGTGGTTCAGTTGATATAGGCGCCGTTCAGGAGGGTGGTTTCATGGATATAGGCGCCGTTCGGGAGGGTGGTTTTAGTTGATATGGGCGCGCCGTTCAGGAGGTCGTTCAGTTGATATAGGGCGCCGTTCTGGAGGGTGGTTCAGTTGATATAGGCGCCGTTCAGGAGGGTGGGTTCATGGATATAGGCGCCGTTCAGGAGGGTGGTTTCATGGATATAGGCGCCGTTCAGGAGGGTGGATTAATGGATATAGGCGCCGTTCAGGAAGGTAGTTTAATGGATATAGGCGTCGTCCGGGAGAGGATTTACTTGATCTAAGCGCCGTTCAGGAGGGTGGTTCAGTTGATATAGGCGCCGTTCAGGAGGGTGGTTTCATGGATATAGGCACCGTTCCGGAGGGTGGTTTCATGGATATAGGCGCCGTTCAGGAGGGTGGTTCAGTTGATATAGGCGCCGTTCAGGAATGTGGTTTCATGGATATAGGCGACGTTCAGGGGGGTGGTTTCATGGATATAGGCGCCGTTCAGGAGGGTGGTTTCATGGATATAGGCGACGTTCAGGAGGGTGGATTAATGGATATAGGCGCCGTTCAGGAGGGTGGTTCAGTTGATATAGGCGCCGTTCAGGAAGGTGGTTTCATGGATAGAGGCGCCGTTCAGAAAGGTGGTTTATTTGATTTAGGCGCCGTTCAGGAGGGTGGTTTAGTTGATATAGGCGCCATTCAGGAGCGTGGTTTCATGGATATATGCGCCGTTCAGGAGGGTGGTTCAGTTGATATAGGCCCTCTTCAGGATGGTGGTTTAGTTGATATTGGCGCCGTTCAGGAGGGTGGTTTAATGTATATAGGCGTGGTTCGGAAGGGTGGTTTACTCGATATATGCGCCGTTCAGGAGGGTGGTTTAGTTGATATAGGCGTCGTTCAGGAGTGTGGTTTAATGGATATAGGCGTCGTTCAGGAGGTTGGTTTAATGGATATAGACGCCGTTCTGGAGGGTGGCTTAATGGATATAGACGCCGTTCAGGAGGATGGGTTAATGGATATAGGCGCCGTTCAGGTGTGGTTTCATGGATATAGGCGCCGTTCAGGAGAATGGTTCAGTTGATATAGGCGCCGTTCAGGGAGGGTGGTGCAGTTGATATAGTCGCCATTCAGGAGGTGGTTTCATGGATATAGGCGCCGTTCAAGAGGGTGGTTTAGTTGATATAGGCGCCGTTCAGGACGGTGGTTCAGTTGATATAGGCACCGTTCAGGAGGGTGGTTCAGTTGATATAGGCGCCGTTCAGGAAGGTGGTTTCATGGATATAGGCGACGTTCAGGAGGGTGGTTTCATGGATATAGGCGCCGTTCAGGACGGTGGTTTCATGGATATAGGTGACGTTCAGGAGGGTGGATTAATGGATATAGGCGCCGTTCAGGAAGGTAGTTTAATGGATATAGGCGCCGTTCGGGAGGGAGGTTTAATGGATATAGGCGTCGTTCAGGAAAGTGGTTTACTTGATATACGCGTCGTTCACGTGGTTCGTTATACGCGCCTTTCAGGAGGGTGGTTTAGTTGTATAGGCGCCGATACGAGGATGGTTTATTTGATATACGCCTTTCAGGGGTGGTTTAGTTGATATAAGCGCCGTTCAGGAGGGTGGGTTCATGTATATATGCGCCGTTCATGAGGGTGGTTTCATGGATATAGGCGTCGTTCAGGAGGGTGGATTAATGGATATAGGCGCCCTTCAGGAAGGTAGTTTAATGGATATAGGCGTCGTCCGGGAGAGGATTCACTTGATATAGGCGCCGTTCAGGAGTGTGGTTCAGTTGATATAGGCGCCGTTCAGGAGGGTAGTTCAGTTGATATAGGCGCCGTTCAGGAGGGTGGTTTAGTTGATATTGGCGCAGTTCAGGAGGGTGGTTCAGTTGACATAGTCGCCGTTCAGGAGGGTGGTTTAGTTGATATAGGCGCCGTTCAGGAGGGTGGTTCAGTTGATATAGGCGCCGTTCTGGAGGGTGGTTCAGTTGGTATAGGCGCCGTTCAGGAGGGTGGTTTCATGGATATAGGTGCCGTTCAGGAAGGTGGTTTAGTTCATATCGGCGCCGTTCAGGAGGGTGGGTTCATGGATATAGGCGCCGTTCAGGAGGGTGGTTTCATGGATATAGGCGCCGTTCAGGAGGGTGGATTAATGGATATAGGCGCCGTTCAGGAAGGTAGTTTAATGGATATAGGCGTCGTCCGGGAGAGGATTTACTTGATCTAGGCGCCGTTCAGGAGGGTGGTTCAGTTGATATAGGCGCCGTTCAAGAGGGTGGTTTCATGGATATAGGCACCGTTCAGGAGGGTGGTTTCATGGATATAGGCGCCGTTCAGGAGGGTGGTTCAGTTGATATAGGCGCCGTTCAGGAATGTGGTTTCATGGATATAGGCGACGTTCAGTGGGTTGGTTTCATGGATATAGGCGCCGTTCAGGAGGGTGGTTTCATGGATATAGGCGACGTTCAGGAGGGTGGATTAATGGATATAGGCGCCGTTCAGGAGGGTGGTTCAGTTGATATAGGCGCCGTTCAGGAGGGTGGTTTCATGGATATAGGCGCCGTTCAGAATGGTGGTTTACTTGATTTAGGCGCCGTTCAGGAGGATGGTTTAGTTGATATAGGCGCCATTCAGGAGCGTGGTTTCATGGATATAGGCGCCGTTCAGGAGGGTGGTTCAGTTGATATAGTCCCCCTTCAGGATGGTGGTTTAGTTGATATTAGCGCCGTTCAGGAGGGTGGTTTAATGTATATAGGCGTGGTTCGGAAGGGTGGTTTACTCGATATAGGCGCCGTTCAGGAGGGTGCTTTAGTTGATATAGGCGTCGTTCAGGAGGGTGGTTTAATGGATATAGGCGTCGTTCAGGAGGTTGGTTTAATGGATATAGACGCCGTTCTGGAGTGTGGCTTAATGGATATAGACGCCGTTCAGGAGGATGGGTTAATGGATATAGGCGCCGTTCAGGAGTGTGGTTTCATGGATATAGGCGCCGTTCAGGAGGGTGGTTCAGTTGATATAGGCGCCGTTCAGGAGGGTGGTGCATTTGATATAGGCGCCATTCAGGAGAGTGGTTTCATGGATATAGGCGCCGTTCGAGAGGGTGGTTTAGTTGATATAGGCGCCGTTCAGGAGGGTGGTTCAGTTGATATAGGCACCGTTTAGGAGGGTTGTTCAGTTGATATAGGCGCCGTTCAGGAAGGTGGTTTCATGGATATAGGCGACGTTCAGGAGGGTGGTTTCATGGATATAGGCGCCGTTCAGGACGGTGGTTTCATGGATATAGGTGACGTTCAGGAGGGTGGATTAATGGATATAGGCGCCCTTCAGGAAAGTAGTTTAATGGATATAGGCGTCGTTCAGGAAAGTGGTTTACTTGATATACGCGTCGTTCAGGAGTGTGGTTCAGTTGATATACGCGCCTTTCAGGAGGGTGGTTTAGTTGATATAGGCGCCGTTCAGGAGGATGGTTTATTTGATATAGGCGCCTTTCAGGAGGGTGGTTTAGTTGATAAACGCCGTTCAGGAAGGAGGTTTCATGGATATAGGCGACGTTCAGAAGGGTAATTTCATGGATATAGGTGCCGTTCAGGAGGGTGGTTTAGTTGATATAGGCGCCGTTCAGGAGGGTGGTTTCATGGATATAGGCGCCGTTTAGGAGGGTGGATTAATGGATATAGGCGCCGTTCAGGAAGGTAGTTTAATGGATATAGGCGTCGTCCGGGAGAGGATTTACTTGATATAGGCGCCGTTCAGGAGGGTGGTTCAGTTGATATAGGCGCCGTTCAGGAGGGTGGTTTCATGGATATAGGCGCCGTTCAGGAGGGTGGTTTAGTTGATATAGGCTCCGTTCGGGAGGGTGGTTTCATGGATATATGCTCCGTTCAGGAGGGTGGTTCAGTTGATATAGGCGCCGTTCAGGAGGGTGGTTCAGTTGATATAGGCGCCGTTCAGGAGGGTGGCCGTTCAGGGTTGATATAGGCGCCATTCAGGAGGGTGGGTTTCCGTTGTTGATATAGGCGCCGTTCAGGAAGGGTGGTTTCATTGATATAGGCGACGTTCAGGAGGGTGGTTCAGTTGATATAGGCACCGTTCAGGAGGGTGGTTCAGTTGATATAGGCGCCGTTCAGGAAGGTGCTTTCATGGATATAGGCGACGTTCAGGAGGGTGGTTTAGTTGATATAGTCGCCGTTCAGGAGGGTGGTTTAGTTGATATAGGCGCCGTTCGGGAGTGTGGTTCTGTTTATATAGTCGCCGTTCAGGAGGGTGGTTTAGTTGATATTGGCGCCGTTCGGGACGGTAGATTAATGGATATAGGCGCCGTTCGGGAGGGTGGTTTCAGTTGGATATAGTCACCGTTCAGGTGGGTGGTTTAGTTGATATAGGCGCAGTTCAGGGTGTGGTTTAGTTGATATAGGCGCCGTTCAGACGAGGTGGTTTCATGGTTGCCGTTCGGGGCGCCGTTCAGGAGGGCCGTTCAGGAGGGTGGGTTTGGATATAGGCGCCGTTCAGGAGGGTGGTTTTCATGGATATAGACGCCGTTCGGGAGGGTGGATGGGGCGCCGTTCAGGGGTGGTTGATGGATAGGCGGCGTTCAGGAGGGTGGTTTAGTTGATATAGCCGCCGTTCGTTGGGTGGAGTTATGCCGTTTGCTTTCATGGATATAGGCGACGTTCAGGAGGTGGGTTTAGTTGATATAGGCGCCGTTCAGGAGGGTGGAGGTTTGGCGCCGTTCATGGATATAGGCGACGTTCGGAAGTGTGGTTTCAGTGGTTATAGTGCCGTTCAGGAGGGTGGTTTAGTTGATATAGGCGCCGTTCAGGAGGGTGGGTTCATGGATATAGGCGCCGTTCAGGAGGGTGGTTTCATGGACATAGGCGCCGTTCAGGAGGGGTTCGGTTAATGGCGCCGTTCGGAGGGTGGTTTCATGGATTAGACGCCGCCGGAGGAGGTGGTTTAGTGGATATAGGCGGCGTTCGGGAGGGTGGTTCAGGTTGATATAGGCGCCTTTCAGGTGGGTGGTTTAGTTGATATAGGCGCCGTTCAGGAGGGTGGTTTACTTGATATAGGCGCCGTTCAGGAGGGTGGTTTAGTTGATATAGGCGCCGTTCAGGAGGGTCGTTCAGTTGATATAGGCGCCGTTCAGGAGGGTGGTTTCATGGATATAGGCGCCGTTCAAGAGGGTGGTTCAGTTGATATATGCGCCGTTCAGGAGGGTGGTTTAATTGATATAGGCGCCGTTCAGGAGGGTGGTTTCATGGATATAGGACCCGTTCGGGAGAGTGGTTCAGATGATATAGGCGCCGTTCAGGAGGGTGCTTTAGTTGATATAGGCGTCGTTCAGGAGGGTGGTTTACTTGATATAGGCGTCGTTCGGGAGGTTGGTTCAGTTGATATAGTCGCCGTTCGGGAGGGTGGCTTAATGGATATAGACGCCGTTCAGGAGGATGGGTTAATGGAAATAGGCGCCGTTCGGAATGGTGGTTTAATGGATTGAGACGCCGTTAAGGAGGGTGGTTTTGATGGATATAGGCGCCGTTTGGGAGTGTGGTTTAATGAATATAGGCACCGTTCGGGACTGTGGTTGAGTATATATAGGCACTCTATATACATATGTATCTATATACACACAACCACCGTCCCAAACGGCGCCTATATCTACTAAACCATCGTCTCGAACGGCGCCTATATCCACTCACCCCCATGATTCTCTACTGACACTTAACTTGTAACTATTTTGTTAGACATTTAGCTAATTTCTCAAAAGACTTTCATAATAAGCATTGGGGTGCCTGTCTTCTACGACTGAGAAACCGGAGAGCCAAGTTCGTATTCCTATCGGGTTCGTTACATTCACTTACGCGCAAACACCAATGGGAAAAGAATGACTTCCATCTTTTTCTCAGCTATAGATTGATTATCAGGAGATATTGAATCCTATAGTCTTGGCTGGCAACCAGCCTACCACAGAAAGAAATGGGAAACTACTGCGGGAAAATCTTCAGTCTAGTTTGTCATGAGTCTAAGCGGGTATAACGTATGACGCTTAGGTGAAAAATTTACTAGTTACTTTGGGACAGTGGATGTAGGCGCCGTTTTTGACGGTGTTTCAGTAGATATAGGCGCCGTTCGAGACGATGGTTTAGTGGATATAAGCGTCGTTCGGAACACTGGCCTAGTGAATATAGGAGTTGATAAGAGTATAGTAATTAGCTTACTAAAGCATTATAGTAGCCGCCATTTTTTCTATAAATTTCTCCTGGAATTAAATTACAAATTTTAATATATGCAGGGAGATTCAGAATCCTTTTATTAGTGAAATAGATTTCAAAATAAGTTTACATGAAATTTACTCTACAGTATGCAACCGTTTATAATGTTTATTATAATTTTTTTCTCTTTCCCAACCTTTATACATTTTCCTTCTCTCTCTTCTTCCATTCGCTTTATATTTCCTTACTTCTTTCGACGTTCTCTCTTTCCTTTTCTCTTCATGTTCAGCTTCGTCTTCCCCTTTTCTGCTCACTTCTGGGAAAGTGACCTAATCCAGTGTAGAAGTGGATAGATTTTCATTGCTTGTGGATGTGTCCCGACGCCCGCGAATGAAGTGTAAGCCACTTAAAATCTGTCAGACTGTCACGCGCATGCGTAACTTGGTCGGAAGCCCGGAGTCGAATAAAAGTTTAATGTGCTTTGGCAAATCCGATGAGGACAAAGACATGGTTACTGATTTCATTCACATTCATCACCTTGCCTTGTCCCTTTCCTGATCCTCTGCTCTCCCCTTTTTGTTTATCAGATTCTTCATTATCTATCTATCTATCTATCTATCTCAGGGTCTTACTTATCTATCTATCTATCTATCTATCTATCTATCTATCTATCTATCTATCTAACTATCTATCTATCTATCTATCTATCTATCTATCTCAAGTTCTAAGTTTTCTATCTATCTATCTATCTCAGATTCTTTATTATCTATCTATCTATCTATCTATCTATCTATCTATCTATCTATCTATCTCAGGGTCTTAATTATCTATCTATCTATCTATCTATCTCAAGTTCTAAGTTTTCTATCTATCTATCTATCTCAGATTCTTTATTATCTATCTATCTATCTATCTATCTATCTATCTATCTCAGGGTCTTAATTATCTATCTATCTATCTATCTCAAGTTCTAAGTTATCTATCTATCTATCTCACGTTCTTAGTTATCTATCTATCTATCTATCTATCTATCTATCTATCTATCTATCTATCTATCTATCTATCTCAGGTTCTTAGTTTTCTACCTATAAATCAATGTTAATCTGTTCAATCTATCTATCTATCTATCTATCTATCTATCTATCTATCTATCTATATATATATATATGTGTGTGTATGTATGTATGTGTGTAACAGACAGAAAATCAGCTTACACTGGGACACGCATCTTCCAAAATTTATTTACAGATCGCGACTTTCAATTTTGACTATTGCATTATATCAAAATTTTAACACATCACCAGATAGCTATTTATATCAACAACTCAACAAAAATATTTATTAATTAAAAAAGTTAGTAATTAATGTATAATATTATCCATAACTACATGTACAAGAATGTCGTTTTTGATAAAATTTTAAAAATAACCCTAACTAGGTAAATTATGTGTATATTGTCGAAAATTCTTATTTTCCCAATATAGCCATTTGTGTTATGTTATAAATGCTTATTATCTAATAAATAATAATACAGACTATTTCTTAAACATTAAAATACAGCTAATCACATCTCCTTAATAGCTGTCCAGTTATTTTATTTTAATTTCATACTTAAAGTTTTCAATAGTGATCAGATTATGAGCTGAGAAACCTCTTCCTCATATCTCCTCAGTAGTTGCCCTATACTTTCGGCCTTGTGCCACATCTAAGGAACGAATCGAAAATTCATAGGACAGTTCAACGTGGTGTAAAGGTTAACAACCTTTTTTCGCGAGATCGCGACTGACTAGTAAGAAACCTTCTCATTGGGTTCTCTATAATATCGGCCTTGTGCCGCACATACGCAATGCTTAGAATATCATTTGAACACTTCAACGTGCTGCAAACTTGTCTTGCTAGATCAATCACGAGTGAATAGAGAGTTCGATCCTCACTGGGTGCTCCCACCTTCTGGCCTACATGTGTCACATTTATACTATGCTTAATAAATCGCTATATCGTGCACTCGACGTAGTGTAATGATTAACGAGCTTGTCTCGGTAAATAGTTACGGCTGAATAGTGAATTATCTGCAAAATCAATAATAGACTTACGGCCACATCACGTTGAAGTAACATCGAGCCTGGTCAGTAACTAGATGGGTGACTGCTTGGGGATACTAGTCTGGATGTGTGGGTAGTTTAATATGTAAGGGCTTGGATTTGTAAATCGAGAAAAGAGTTCCAATTTCCGTAGAGTTCTTTATATTCACTTACGCGAAATGCTCTTGGGAAAGATGTGGGTCCACCACTTCTCTCCCCAGCTATGGGTTAATTAGTAAGGCTTGTATCAATAAAATTATGATTATCTCCAAAATCAATAATTAAAATTGCGTACACAATATTTAGTTTTCATGATTAAAGAATTCATTGAGATTGATATGCCGCTGAGCCAAAGCAAGCGACCAGTCTTCTTCCTATATGATAAGATTGTTCAGCTTTCTGTATTCCATCGACGGGCTTTATGTAAAATCCAGTTCGTCTTGCTATATACCCATAGTTGTTGTGTGTATTGGGGTGGGGGGAGATGGATTCATACATTTCCCAAGGCTATTAGCACGTAAGGGGATATTTACTTGACCCCCAACTGAGGTTGTGACACAAGATCAGTTTTTAACATGGGGACCCGAGTGCTTTCACTCGGGTCGCTGGTCTAAGCTGCTCTTAGCTGGTCATAGCTTGTCCAAGCTGGTCAGAGCTGGTCTAAGCTAGTCATAGCTGGTCTTGGCTTGTCATAGCTGGTTCAAGCTGGTCAGAGCCGGTCCAAACTAATCGTAGCCGTGATACTAACAGCGTAGGGACGGATCCCTACACAAGGTAAGTAGGCTATTAGAAATTGACTGGAATTCGAACTCAGCTCTCCGATTCCTAAATCCGAGCCGCTATCAATTACTCCAATATGCCTCACATGCGCGCGCAAACACACACACAAACACATTCTTATAACTAGTTTCAATGACTTTCGTTTTCTTCAGTTAGGCGTAAAAGCAATTACTTTTTTTTTTAATAAACACATTTAATTGTCGTTTCTTTTAAATTCATTGTTTTGTGTACATTATTTTTACCCGGACTCACACGAGTCCGCCAATAACGTTTGCAAGTCAAATGTCCCAGGAGATCGTAAATATTTACTAAATCAATGAGCCCTTCTTGCATGGATTATTGCTGTCATATATGGATTGGTGTTCCCGCTGCACGTCTCGAGATCCTCGACAAAATCCAGAGACTAATATACAATATGATAAGTCCTTATCTGGCATCTAGTCTACAATTGCTTTCCAACAGACCTGCCATGCCTTCCCTCTGTCTCTTCTACAAGTATTTTCACGGCAACCGTTCCGGCTAGCTATTTTCGCTGGTTCCCAGACTGAATGAATTTAAGCGAGCTAACAGGCTGGAATCTCGGTCCCACCCCCTTCATTGCCAAAACGGTTAAATGTAACCGTCTCTTCTACTCAAACAGCTTCTTCTCTCTCACTTCCGGTATGTGGAACTCCCTTCTCTTTACTTGATTCCCTGATTATAATTTTCAAATATTCAAGTGTAATGTCAATCGATATCTAACACCCTGAGCTTGTTCCCCGTCCTTCTCTGTATCCTTTCCTCAAACACACCTCTTTACTCTTGTTCTCAATCTTCTGTAAGCCCCTTGCGTGCTAGTGGCAGTCCCGCTTTGCTTCGGGTGAATTTGTTTATTTAAAAAAAGTCCTCACACTCGTAGCAAGAATGTAAAATCCCAGGTCAAAGTACATATTCTCTCTCTCTCTCTCAAAAACTCTCTCTTTCATATTATCTCTCTCTCTCTCTTATATATCCCCTCTTCCTCTCTCTATTTATCTCTTGTTTCAAACTCTCTATAGTTCTCAGTCTCACAAGAATATTCTTATAGCTATATTTCAATGTCTTTTCATTTCAATTCAATTGTGTATATACGCAATTACTTTTGTTAATGTATACATTTAATTGTCTTCTATTTGCATTATTCGGACTATTGTCCTCATCTTTGTCGCCATATTTATTACAACGTTTCGGCCTCTGAAAGTTCTCCATTGCCTTAACCGGGTATTGAACTCACACTCTTTGGCCCTGTCACTGGATGTAACTAACGCCTCAAGGACACATGGCACAGTGGATAAAGGCGTTGGTTCGATCAGTGACAGACCCAAAAGTGTGAGTTCAATACTCTGGTTAAATATGGAGAACTTTCAGAGGGAAATAACAGGAGATAACTGATAACTGACATCCATTAAACATGGCACGTGGAACTAGAATAGTCTACTCCAGCGAGCAAAATAAAGGGTTAAGTTTGACATTCCAACCACCTGAAGAAGGCCGGAGCATGCAACGGCTGAAACGTTGTAATAAATATAGCGAAAAAGAAGAGGACAATAGTCCAAATAATGTAAATTGTGTACATAATACCTCATCACAGAAATATAGAAAAATGCATTTAATTGTCGTTTGCTTTAAACTCATTGTTTTTGTGCTTTATTTTTACCCGAACTCACACGAGTCCGCCAAGATTGTTTGCGGGACAAATATTCCAAGAGCCCGTAAGTGTTATAAAACGTCCATACCCTCGTAGTATAATATCCCACAACAACAGTGGTAACTTATTTTTACCCGATCATTATAGAATCCTGCAACAAGTTGAACAATACATATTGTTACCAGAAATGTCTGTTTTCTCAATTTTTAGCCAAGCATTACAGCAAACAGAGTAATATAAAAATGTTAAAAAAATCTAAAGAAACCGAGTTTATAATATAACATTCTTTGCTGTTGTTTCTTTGCTTAGCTTGTTAAATGCTCCCTCTCCTATCCTAAATGCTTTTCCTCATTTCGGGGACGTTTCCACCACTGAATGAATAAGAGCGTTGATTAAACGGTTGTGTGTTCAAGATGAAGTAGAAATCTGCAGCCTTAAACCTAATGTCATTTTCATACCTCACCAACTGAACGAGGGAATATGATTTTTTCACTACTTGCCGTGGTAAAATAAAGCTCTATATTCTTTTGTTCTTAAAATAGCAACAGCCAAAATTGTTCATTTTCTATGCTAGGTCTACTGACGAGGTTATTTGAGGTTAACATACACGCTGATTCTTTCAGTAGCCTTATTTCCCAGTGCTGTTATCTACCAATTAGTCTGTCTTCATTCGACAAGGGTTTTTGAACCGCTTAGTCCCTATACATACAATTAGAAACACCTGATTTAATCTCTTTTCACAGCATGACACATTTCCTATGTTTTCCCAGCCATACCTTTACGTTGTAATTTGTCACGCCTTTGTATTTCTTGTCATATACAAAATAAATAAATATATATGCCTATTTTTAAGTTCATTTCGAGGTTGTTGGCGGGCTTGATTTGGGTGAGATGTCGCCGAGAAGTGTAAATGTGTTTAGATAACGCCCTCATGTTGGCCTTCCTTAATTTACATTTATGTATTTTTCTACCTCTCTCTCTCTCTCTCTCTCTCTCTCTCTCTCTCTATTTGCCTGTCTGTCTCCCTATATATATATATATATATATATATATATATATGAGAGAGAGAATATCAAAGATGAAACAGAAAATGACACACGCAAATATGTGTGTGTGTGTGTGTGTGTGTGTTACTATTTCATTGATATTCTCTGTCTTATTTTTACTCTCTCTATACATCTCTTCTCCATTTTCCCTTCTCTTTCCCTCTATATTTCTTTGGATTTCTATCTCTATTTTTATCTCTTTCTGTCTCATTTATTTTCATTTCTTTCTTTCTTTCTTTTTTCTTTTTTCCACTCGCTAAATTTCTTTCCAATCAGATTTTCTTTCATTGTTAGCTTTTGTCTCTTTTTCTTACGCTATTTCTGCATCCATCCTTTTACTTCTTTCTTTCTTTCTTTCTTTCTTTCTTTTCTTTCTTTGTATATATGTGAATGTTTTTTTCTGTTCACTCTCTGATCTTCTCTCTCTTTTTTATTCTATTTCCACGTCTCTTTTCTTCCATTTCTCTTTTCCTATTTTTTTTTTAGTTATCTCTTTCTTTAACAGCTGTCTGTCTCGTTTGTTTTCATATCTGTCTTTCTTCTTTCTTTCTTTTTTCTTTTTATTCTTTCACTTCTTTCATGTCTTTCTTTTCTTTCTTTTTTCTTTCTTTCTTTTTTCTTTCTTTCTTTCATTTCTTTCATGTATTTTTCTTTCCTTTCTTTCTTTCTTTCTTTCTTTATGTCTTTCTTTTCTTTTTTCTTTCTTTCTTTCTTTCATTTTTTCCTTCTTTCCTTCATTCTTTTTCTTTCTTGCTTGCTTTCATTTCTTTCTTTTCTTTCTTTATTTATATTGGGCTCCTCTCTTTCTCTCTCTCCCCTCTTTACCCAATTAGTCTCTTTCTCTCTCTCTCCCCTCCTTACCCAATTTCTCTCTTTCTCTCTCTCCCCCTCCTTACCCAATTTCTCTCTTTCTCTCTCTCCCCCCTCCTTACCCAATTTCTCTCTTTCTCTCTCTCCCCCCTCCTTACCCAATTTCTCTCTTTCTCTCTCTCTCTCCCCTCCTTACCCAATTTCTCTCTTTCTCTCTCTCCCGTCCCTTACTGTTTCTCTTACACTTTTTACAGACTTTCATTTTTCCACCACCCATTAAATCATATTTCTCTATTTATTGTTTCCATTCATGTCGTGTTCGCATCTTTTTTTTCTTCACTGCTCCATGCAATTTACTTGTGTCTTTCAAAAAGACAAAAAAAAAATCCTCGTCAATTTGAGTCAGTATCGAGCTATTTGGTTCCCTCAAATCCCATGCCTTCCCAACCAATTCAATCGTCGGCCATTATCTACCAACATGGCATCTATTGTCGTCTCTCTGCTTCAATTACATTTCCTCTCTGATGTCGCTGTTACTGCAGCTACTGCATTTTTTTTTTTACCTCTGCAGAAAAGAATCCTACTTCTCTTGCTGTCATTTTTGCAACTTTTCTCTCTTTCCAGCTGTGATTGTCGTAGTAAAAACCTTCTTTCTAATAGCCTGGCATTTCCCAAGCTTTTTTTCCTGTGTATTTCCTTCTCGTTTTCCTCTCCGCTGACAAGTGATGTAGTCCGAGCGCCTCTTCTCACCGAAACAGTATGAAACGGTTTGAAAACAAACAAAATAAACACCTTTATTCCAGCGGCAACTTTCTTTATTATTAAACATGTAATATTAGTAGAAGAGCATATTTTACCACTCCTGTCCATTTTTTTTTCTTATCTTTTAAAAAAGAAGCAGGGTTGTTCAAATTTAATAGGAAAAAGTACGCAATATATAATATAGCGGTTTAGTATGCATAGCTTATGTATGACACAAGGCCGAAAATATGGCATTTTTCTAAGCAAAGGCCGAACGTATGGGACACCCAGTGAGGATCGAACTTACCATTCAGTCGTAAATGATCTACCGAGATAAGCTTGTTAAGCATTACACCACGTGGAAGAGCACAAGACCTGAATGAAGCATAGATGTGTCACAAGGCTGAAATAATGCAGCACCCAGTGAGGATCGAACTCACCGTTCAATCGTAAATGATTTACCGAGATAAGCTTTCTAACCATTACACCACGTGTATGTACCCAAGAACTGAGTGTGGCTTAGATGTGGCACAAGGCCGAAAGTACGGGCACATAGTGAGGATCAAACTCACTACTCTGTCGTAATTGATGTAGCGAGACAAACATGCTAACCATTACACTATGTCGAAGTGCCCATGGTGATTTTCTTTGCGTAGGTGACATGAGCCACAAAAGAGAAGTTGTGGGGCACCTAGTGACGATCGAACTCACTACTCAGTCGTAATAATGGTGGTTTTCTAGCTTAGAAAATATAGAGCACTCAGTGAGAAAAGAACACATTACTTATTCATAATTGATTTAGGGAGACGAGCTTGTTACATACTACACCACGTCAATGAGCTTAAATACAGGGTGTTTCAAATGTCGTATTACCATTGATAACCTTGTAAATCTTAATATTAATTTACCAAATATTTTATGTTTCCGTATGTGACAATATATATATATATATATATATATATATATATATATATATATATATATATATAATAGTTTTATTGGTCGAATTATAGAAATCATGTCATGTAAATTTTCCTTGGTTGCTATTTCACAAGTGTATGTTTTCTGCCAATTGGTGCGTGACATTTGGAACACGCTGTATAATGTAATATATGATCTTTTCGCTATATATAGCAGTGAATACTGGACAATCTCTTCGCAGAAGAGATGAAGCGACAATGATGTTGGTTCCACCGACGAATCCTAAGAATACCATGGATAGAGCATGTGAGCAACGAGTAAGTTTTAAGGAAAATAAGAAATTGGAGAAATCTGATACTTACAATCTGAAAGACAAAGTCGAAAATTGCTTGGACTAATAATGTAAAAAGATGGGCAGGTGAATTGTTTACTAACTATAAAAAAACATACTAACAATGAAAAAGAGAGAACTGAACTGTTTGAGATTCACAGTGAGGAAGGAACACTATTTACATTGCTCGGACTATCATTCTTATCTTTGTCACCATATTTATCAAAACGTTTCGTCATTTCAGTATCTGTCTATATTTCTGATATGAGGTATTATGTACACTATTTACATTATTCAGACTATTGTTCTCATCTTTATCGCCATATTTATTACAACGTTTCGGCCTTTCAGTATCTGTCTATATTTCTAAGATGAGGTATTATGTACACTATTTACATTATTCGGACTATTGTCCTCATCTTTGTTGCCATATTTATTACAACATTTCGGACCTTCAGTATCTGTCTATATTTCTGAGATGAGGTATTATGTACACTATTTACATTATTCGAACTATTGTCCTCATCGCTATATTTATTACAACGTTTCGGCCTTTCAGTGTCTGCCCATATTTCTGAGGTGAAGTATTATAATATTATAATATTACCAGCGATACGTTTTTGAAAAAAATAATATTATCAGCTGTACATTTTTGCGAAAAAAAATATTAACAGAAATGGATTTTTGACAAAAAAAAATATTACCAGAAAAATAAAGTTATCTGCATTAAATGACCGATTAAGTTTGATATGCCGTAAAACAAAACAAAACAAACAAATAAAATTACTCAAATGATCTTGTTGAATTTTTTATAATGGAATTAATATGTATATAATTTTATTTGGGGGATTAATTTATGTATATATATATCTTAAATAAAAGTAGGTTATGGGTTTAACTTTTTTAAAAAAATATTTTAACATTTTTATAGCCATGTCTGTTGGCTTGGGTAAGAAGACATACTTTCAGGAAAGGAGATATTTGAAAAACTCCCAGGCGCAGATTTATATTTTGATAAGAATTGATAGCTGCACTCCCGAGAATTTTCTGTCTAATTAAATTACTTTCTCTTTTAGTAAGAGTGGCTTTCTTTAGATTAAAGTTGTGGTTGAATTTATTTCTATGTATAACTAATGTATTTGATAGCTTGTTATGTATAAGATCCATTTTGGGTTCACAGATATGTTTTTACAATTTCTGCAAATTTCCCAAATATCTCTGCTTAGAATTCTTATTGCTATGCGTATTTTGGCTTCTAATCCTATCTATAATCATTTTGGATAAAGGTTGAAATTATGTTGATATTGTTAAACTTGGATAAATTGTTTTGCATAGTGAATGATAGGGAGTTAGTAGATAATAATATATGTCTGTTTTTATCTAGTTTATTGACATTGTTGTTAATAATGTTATTTCTTATGCGGTTGTATAATTCGTATGCCTTTCCCTTAGCATTGTGGACGAAATAATGATGGCATTGGTGGTTTCTGAAAGTGTTTTCTATGTATATTTATTCTTCAGGTAAGTATTGGAATAGAATCCTATAACTATTCCAGATTTAATACTGTTACTGTGGTGAGAATAGAAATTAATAGGGTCATGCTTATTGGTAGATTTTTTGTAAAACTCTAAATAAAAGTCCTTATTAGTTCTATGTAGCATTATATCACGGAAGGGAAAAGTGTTATCATATATATATATATATATATATATATATATATATATATATATATATATATATATATATATATACCCAAGTATATGATTGCTGTATACGGAATAAATTTCAATAACCAACAATTACTATTCTTAAAAGAGTGCTTAATACAGAGTAGAGCAAATATAATTATTTATTTAAAAATTATACCATAAATATGTTATAAAATCATTACAAAAATAGCCATTTTGTTTCAACACCTCCGGTGTCTTATCAAGTGATGATGTTGAATGTAAAATAAATAGATTTATTTTACATTCAACATCATCACTTGATATGACACCGGAGGTGTTGAAACAAAATGGCTATTTTTGTAATGATTTTATAACATATTTATATCATGTAATTAAAGTTTAAAAATTTGTAAATTTCTTTTCACATGCTGTCATAAGTATAAATAATTTTCTGTTTGCCTTTCTCTTTCTCTCTTTGTATTTTTATTTATAATTATTTATTTAAAATTTATAACATACATATGTTATAAAATCACTGCAAAATGATTTTCGTCATGTTTTAGTCGTACGGGAGTCAAAAGAACAGTCCTTGTTTTAGTTTGAAAATGTGTAAAAAAAGATATAGATGGATTTGGTTTGTAAATAGATAAAAAAGGGTGGGTGCGGTTTGCATAGGAGTAAAAGAAATGTCGACATACTTTTGGTCTGAAAAGAGAGTTGAAAATTTAGGTAAATTTGAATTCTAGTTGAATTAAAAAGGTAGACATTACAGTAGAGGTCTGCAGGCTTTAAGATCATGATGTTTACGAATATTTTGTAAGCATGCTGCTTGGCTTCAACCAACAGGCACGGTGGATTAATGGATAGTGGCTCGGATTGAGGAATCGGAGAGTTCGAATTCTACTTGGATCCATTACATTCACTTACGCGCTAATACCCTTGGAAAAGATATCAATCCTCTTTTTCTCCAGACCGGGTTCTATAGCCTTCTGTGACGTCCCCCCCCCGGGGTGTCGCTGCGTCAAATGTGACGTCTGCCTGGCTGCATCCGTCGTGCTATCCTGTCCCGTGACGACCAACTGGCTTGGTATTGGTCGCGGCACCAAATGTGACGTTCTAACCTTTTTGTGATTCAGATGGGAATCTGGTTAGATTCGGTATCAGCCTTGTCCTTCCCAGCTCGCCTCCAACGTCTGGTTACCGAAGTAACTGCTTTGATTTTCAGTCTACCCTACCCACGTTGTGAATTGATCTTAGGCAGACGAAATCAATCAGTCGCCGGGCCGTACTGCAAGTCGAGTTCGAATAAGGGTGATATCGCACAAGTATGTGTAAAATAAAATAAAATAATAACTCGAAAAGTTCAAATGTGTTAAAAAAGGATAACAATATTTTATATATGGTTGCTGAATACAAGACTGCGTCTACTTCCCAACCCGCTATATGGATTCGTGACACTTTGTTTTTGTTAAGTGAGTCTTAACATCTTAAGTTGTTTGTTCTTTAAGAAACTGGTTCTTGGTGTATCTTCAGGTGATATTCGTAAAACTTGTCTTGGTGGTGTGAGTCTAAGTCGTTCTTCAAAAATAAATTGCGTGAATATTAGTCAGCTTCTACGAGGCGGTTCTTCAGAGCTTTCAGCTCCCTGCAACTGCTTGGAACTTAACTGGAACTCAACTCGACTGGATCTCGACTGAATCTGATTTTCACTCGCCGCGACTCTGCTTATATGGACGCCGGCCAAAACCGGGGTGGGCTTGTCGGGGTTTGAGGTTCCTTGATAATTCCAAACCTGCAATTCATTTCTTTGTTTTCGGTCAGGAAAATTTTATTATTTTCCATTTTTTGGAACTCCCCCCTTTTTCTGTTCTCATATTGGTATCTCACCATACCCTCAGAGGGTGTCAACGGGTTTCCCCTCTCTCTCACAGTGGCATCTCACACCTATCCCTTCAGGGGTGCCAACAGGCCTCCCCTCCTACTTCACATGATTACCTCCGCCCACGCTCATGCTACTATTCAGCTAATGGGCGCTCAGCGGCGTGGGTGTGGCCAGACTATCCTCGTTTTAAAAAATCTTGCTCAAAGAAAAAAAAATT